TGGGTTATAGGGTTTGTTAACCTACTTACTAAGTCTCCCCGGCCCTCCTAGCAGCCTACTACCGCTCTGCCTCTTATGCCCCCTTGTCGGCAAGGCTAGCTCTCACGTGGCCCAAACACAACTGGGTTGCTGTTAAGGAACCTAAGTTAAATTTAACCATAATCTGGTGTATATCTAAATATTTAGGGTTTAAGGTTTATAGGGTTTAAGTTGCTATATTATGGGTATATGGTGGAATTATGGTTTTCCTTATGATAATGATTTAACAAAAGTTTCTGAATAGCAACCCAGACGAGTCCAAGCGGCAGATGTGAAACTGTGCGTACGACTTCCTGGCATGTCGTTCAGGTTTGCTTTCGAGTTAACCTGTGGCAGTAATGAAAAACATAAGCCCAGAAAGATGGAGAGCTGGGAGTATAAAAGTGGAACAGGCTTGATGAGCATTTGTTGATTTGGCCCCACCCTCCTGGGTTGTCTGGTGTCTTTGGTTTCTGGGCAATTGCCCCAAAGCTGTACCTACAGTTCCGCCCATTAGCGCTAGAAACTTTAGTAGGCAGTAAGGGAATATAATCCCCACAATATCCCCATAGAATCCCTATATAATGTCTTTCCATATTCCCTACAAAGAACCAGCAGGGTAAGTGCTCCTCATGGCGACCCCCTGGCAACATCATAGGGTCTTGTTGCCATGACACTTGGTATTTTCCAATATGGGGGGCAGACCCAAAAGTACCATAGTACTTTTTACAGGGACACCCCAACAGATCCTAAACCCTATATATATATATACCATAGAACCACCAGATAACCCTTAATTTTGGGAAACCCTAAACCTTTCTCCTCAACTCGATATATTCCCATAGAACCCCCCGGATAACCCCTCTATTTTGGGAAACCCTGAACCTCAATCCCTAAACCCTATGCGAATAGAACTCCCCAGATAACCCCTTAAGTTTGGGAAACCCTAAGCTCTAAACCCTATATATTCCTATAGAAACCCTGCAAGTAACCCCTTATTTATGGGAAACTCCAAGCCTTACGCCCTGAACCCTATATGTTCTCATAGAGGCCCATATAACCCCCCTAATTTTGGAGTAGGATTTAGGGATTAGGGTTTAGGGATTAGGGTTTAAGGATTAGGGTTTAGGGATGAGGGTTTAGGGATTAGGGTTTGGGGATTAGGGTTTGGGGATTAGGGGATTAGGGTTTAGGGAAACAACTCTGAACGAAAATAAGCCCTAAACCTACCAACAGCAGTAATAGCATCGATGCAGATTCCGAGACGCACAACATGATCAGGTGGCTCAAAAGGTGGGATGAAAGTAGGTGGGTCAAAGGATCCCTAGTCTATACTCTGCTAAATTGGGGCTTATTTCCTATAGCCCACCTTCCTTAACCCCGCCTTTTGAGCCCTTTGACATGCAAGATACTGTTAGACCCAACAGATCTATCCCCGAAACAGGGTTTAGGGTTTGAGGGCTTAGGGTTGAATTACGGCTAAGGGTTTAATTAGGGTTTGGGGTTTATGGCTTCGCTCGAGCCATTAATCCCACATAGCCACACACACTAGAATACTGAAAGCTACATGCATGCAGGCTGCAAGCCGCATGTCAACACTAAACCTGCATAAGCCGCAATGGACAGCACTTGTAGAGAGGCCAGTAACTGTACCCTTTTGCAACAGGCAACCCTAACCCTGTACCCTTAGGGTTTAGGGTTTAGGACGTGGATGTCAGGATGTCATCTATCCAAGGACTTTTGGAGGGACCCCTAATAGGGACCCTTGTAACTTATGGGGGTTAATATGGGGACTACCTGGGGATATAGGGGGTAGATAATGACTATATAAGGGTTATATATGTTAATGGGATTAAGGGTCCCTATTAGGGTTCCCTCCTAAAGTCCCTAGAATCTAAACATCCATCTATCTTTCCTGGGAGCTTAAAGGTCCTGGAAACAACATCTCAAAGCCGACCATGCTGGACTTCTCTGGTTAGTTTCCAAAAAACAGCCTCCCTTTTTCTGTATCCTCATAAAGTGGGCAGATGCTTTATGACAAGCGGTGCCCATGTGCCCATAAGCAAGTTTGAGAATAGCTTATCTGCAGCCTCAGGAGACTTCGTACCAGCCATGCGCGTGAAGCCAGCCAAGTCAGACTGCACCACGGTCGCCCGAAAATAATGATGAGACGGCCTGAAAGGTCAGATTTGCTTAGCAAGAACTTTTTGCTCTTGTTTATCAGAGCATGATGCCTGAGGTTGGGCATCAAGAGCACTTCATCAATGTTGTTCGTTGACGGTTTTCTGACTGGGAATGATCAAGAGCAGCGACAGCTGGTCCTGTTGGGAGCCAGTGGGACAGGAGCCCATCGTTTAGGGTTTAGGAGGGCTCGAGCCCCATGCAAAGTCGCAGCATCAAACTCAGAAGCCTCAACTCTTGAAACGGAGCAGGAGTGAAGCAGCGCACAGATGCGCTCTTAAGGTAGGGTTTAGGGTTTAGGATGGCCATATCTCACTCTTTGTAATTGAGGCCCTCAAGTTTTCACACGGATTCAGGCGGCTTCCCTAGGGAGAAGAGTTGCTGGCTGTCTGTTCATATGATGCCCACATATACTGCCCACAGTCCGTAAATTGCCAGGTCCTTAAGGGTTGCAACCAGGGAGGATTTTCAAAGCATTGGGGATTTCTAGGTGACCTACCCCTTAAACTACTTCATAACTTGGTCTTGGAACCTCCCGCAGGAACCCCTTTCATCCACTTACAGAGTTCCTGGAACTTGAGAATTTACCCCCCCTTTCTGGGAAACCCCCAAGTAGGAGTTGCTCAAAATAGTTTCCTACTGCATCCTTTGCAGGGACTACGGTGACCCCCTGAAATCTCTCAGAACCCTTACTCAATAAACCCTAAACCCTTAAACCCTAAACCCTAAACCCCCAAAAACGGCCCCATCGAGTACGGAGGCTGAGCACATCCGAGTTACAGGGAATCATCGTGAGATGCTCGCTGCAGCTCATTGATAACCAGCTTCGGCATCATGGAATCCAAGATCCTGCTTTTGAACCCTGGCAGTTTAGGGTTTAGGGTTTAGGGGTTTGGTCAGCAGTTGCTCAGAGTCCTACAGCAAGTTGGCACAAGGAGTGTGAAGAAGACAAATCACCTTCCGTGATCTTGCAGACATTATTTTGAAGAAGACTCTGTCCTTCCATTGCTGGCAAGGTTAGTGTTCGGATCTGGAAGCATGCAGGGGTCAGAGTGCACGGGGCAGGCACTACTTAAACATGTAAGCGGCCCTGAATATACCCCTCATGTTTTGCCCCCCCGCATGCTAAATACACGTCCCAAAATATGATTACAAATAGAAAGCCACAGCCCTAAACCCATTACCCTAAAGCCTGTAACCCCTTTACCCCTACAACCGTGTAACCGTAAGGCCTATTGCTCGTATGACATGCCTCGGATGCCAAGCTTTGAGCACCAGCATGGCAGGACGTTTCAGGGAGTGTCCACACATGGGAGCCCAACAATTTGGGGCTTCACAAAATTTGAGGTACCTTTCTCCACCTATGATAGAGACCAGAGTATTTTTGTCTCTGTGCTGGGTTCCACTAAATATGGTGACTACCATCTAAGGTGTTCGAAAAGTACCGGAGCCTCCCTCTCCATCTATCGCAGAATAGACCTTGGAAGATGCGTTCATGTCGGTCATCTCCAAGTTGTGCGTCTCAAAGGACCGGACCCCCAAACCCTAAACCTTTAACCCAGAAAATTCCAGACCTGTCCTATCTGCAGTTGTTGATGCGATGCGATTTGCACAACTGTTTCGGGAACCAGCCGTGTCTAAAGTCTAGGCCTATTTTGGAGGGTTCAGGTCAAGCATGGAGTACCTTGTGAAGACATCAAGAAGCCGAACCCTGTCAACCCGCCCAAAACTGAACCAGCAACACTCAGAACCTCTCCCGCCTCTGGGGTTGTATTTGTTTGAAGACTACAATGGCAGTTGTAAGGACTCAAAAGCCCAAGATGAAAAGTCTCCCTCATTATCTTAGATAATGTCTGTAGAATCCTTATCACCCTGGGAATGGGACCCTAGAATCTGGGTTGCTGTTAAGGAACTTAAATTAAGTTACCATAATGGGTATATATAGTAAATAATAGGGTTTAACAGCAACCCAGTAGAATTTGAGATGCTGCCCCGCCAAATTAGCAAGAACAGTCCCTTCGATGCGCGTCTTCGCCGTCTCGATGGCTTGTCTGGCTTTGAACTGCTTTCGGAGACTCTGCTCGCCCACGAAAGCCTTCCTGCAGGACCATGCCAGTTTCATGCCAGGGTTGCAGAGACATGGATGGGATTTTTCTGGGTTCCATGGAGGCCCATGCATAATTCAACATCTCACACTCAGTCGACTCCGAAAGCGGCCTTGTACTTCAGCTGCTAAATAGGGTTTTGATATCACCCAACACAAGTTACAAATTCTTCGACACCCACCTCCAAGCAATTGAGATTTGGTTGTTTCCCTATTTGGCTCGCCAACAACACGAGCTGAAAAAGCCTGACTAAGCCTCACCGTCTTTAGCTATACCTGGCCACTTCCCTCTAGCACAAGAACTCAATTTCTATGCAAAAATCTGCGCCGGGGAGAATTCGCGCAAGAAAAAAGAGCTTAGATCTGAAAGCGTATGCTGCCGGCAGCTGAGGCTCATTACGAAAATGAGGCTGTATCCCATGAAGGCTACTCCTTCGGACGGGTACCCATTCTCAGCCGTCGCAGGCGCGACAAAAACGATGAAGATGACCAGTGAGAAACCCGCCAAGTAGATCAGCGCAACTGAAGCCCTGGGAACTTGTGTAATCATTGCTCTTGAGGCTGGAGGGTTTCAGGTTTACATCAATGCGCAGGGGGCCAGAGAAGGTTTATGTTGTGCCAACTGCCCACATGATGTTGCCCTTCAAGGGACATTTGATTCAAGTCACGAATATGGGTTGTCCTCAAAAATCTGGATCCCTTTTGGTTATAGAGTATATTATGGCACCTAATACTTAGGGGTACTAAAATGGGACCCTAATTTTGGGAACTATCCTCATGGAAAAGGAGAAATGGGCTTGGTTTGCTCAAGGTTCTGGGGGGGTCCAGTCTTGCCATTTGGGGCCGAGCAACATCTCTGTAGCCCTAAACCCTACGCTTACGGGTGGGTAGTAGGGAATAAAATATGGGGATGAATATGAAGATTGTAGTGAGATTATATTCCCTTCTTCCCTGCTCACCACCAGTAGCTAAAGTGTTAATTAACTGAGCATGAGGCGGTCTCCTATGGTCTCCTGGGCTTTACTAAGCCTGGGCTAAAGACGCCCTACATCACCCTAATGTACCCTTTTGTCCTCACCAAGGCCAACGAATGTGTTACCCTTAAAAAAAGGCGAGCCGGTTTGGAGCATACACTCCTGTTATGTTATATATTAATGGTTCTTGGCAGGGAATAAGGGACTAGTATCTCTATATATCCTTCTACAATATATTCCAAGATCCAGTTAGATACACTACTTCTGGTGATTTGGTTGGGGTTTGAGTGGACAACTAATTGCTTCCGTGCGCGTTGCAACTCCTTGTGTCTGTGGCAAAACGCTTGGAGGGTCAGGGGACTTAGTAAGTAGGTTCATAAGCCCTACAACCCATATAGTGACCCTAGTTGCTTCCCTTTGGGCAACACAAGGACTTGCGGCAGCCCCCCAGGCAACACCCAAAGCTGATAGTGTGCAAGCGAGGCTGCCTCCCAGCAAGCTTCTTCGACAAGCTCGCTTTTCAGCATCGGGACTGACACGGTTTAATCAGCTGTTCCTCCAGCGTGGCCGTTTGGGTAGCTTGGCCTCCTACAGATACGCTCACTAGTTGTGGCCAGATGAAACATGCACCATGTTTTGGGTCCTCCTGCTCCTAGTGTACATTCATCTCATATGTCAACTCTTCCATAACAGCCCACAAGTTGCAAAAACCGACCGCCATACCCATACACCATATGAGCTATAGTCTAAACTCCTAGTATCCCCCTTAACAACCACTATAAGAGTCCCCCATTGAATCCCCCATAATATAACCCCCTTAAAGGAGTTTAGACTATAACACATATCAAAGGGCTGAGCGGCTGCAGCTGATAAGAGATCATGAAAGCAGAGTAGACCGGAAAGAAGATGAGGGCCACGACATTGTCAGGAACGGCATCACTTCCTTGGCTCAAGGGGTTTAGGGTTTAGGGCCCCTGCCCCAGACCCCCTGAAGGATCCAAAAAATGGAACCCTCCCAATATGAACCCATTACTACATTAGGCAATCTAGGGGATTATTAGGGGGTTCCATTTTTTGGATCCTTTAGGGGGTCTGGGTTGGCTCAAGGCCATCTTAGAGGGGAGTTGCTGTGCACCAGGCTTGCATAAGCGCGAATCTGTTGCAGGCCAGATTTCACAATTCTTCTTCTTCCTGTGGATGCTGCCGCGCAAGAAATGGAACCTGTACCTTGAACACATTTGTCGTTGTTTTCGTTGTTGTTGCTGCGCTGTTGCTGCTAAGCCTGTTGCCAGACTCATCTGAAGCCACCACCACACCCCTGAAATCACGGGGACTGGGCTTTCTTGGCATTTCATTGCTTAGCTGGCCAATTCCCAACTGGGACTGTTATGAAGGCAAAACACATTTGAGACCCCAACGGCCCAAACGCTGCGGCGACAAATTTGGCAACGCCCTCGCTCACCTTCAAACTGTGGTCCACCAGCACTCCCAGATCAAGCAAAACAACGCTCCATTCCGAGGAGGCTCCGCGCAACTGCGGAATCGGCCGTGTGCTCTGCGTCTAGATGGCAATCTACGGATGCTACCTTCCCTCGACACAAGAACACCCGCGTTTTGATATGCAGCTTTGGCAATTTGAAAGTATGTATAGGTGGACATGAATTTGTCACTCATGTAGTAGAGACCGAAGCTTCCGTTGTTGGCGTACGCCGGCAGGAGCATGTAGGAGAGCATCCTCAGTCAGATCATGTCGTTATCCGTTAGGGGTCACCTTCAGGGCTTCAAGCTAGCTAGGCAACGACACATGAAAAGAATATCAAGAAGGATTTGCCGAGAAGAGTTTGTACTAGTGTCTGGCATGCGTGCACTCTCTGCGTTTTAGCGACCAAGGGGGCTTGGTACTGTCTAACAGCTGTGCAAAGAGGGCAAGCCTTAGAGAGTGCCAGAAACCTGCAATTTCAGCCTGCCTTCCTCTGGACATGCTGGTACCATGGATTATATAGGGATAATGGAAAAGATAATGGAAACTGCCCTATAGTACATTGGAGTTATACAAGGATAATGGAAAGGAAAATGGAAACTACCAGTCAGGGTTCGGGGTATTAGTATTTAATCTACCTTGGGCGAGCAAAGCCCATTATGTTGGGCGCCCTGTTTTTTTAGGATTCAGGAGCTTAAGATTTAGACTTTTTGGGTTGCCAACGCCTGCGGGCATCGGCCATCGTTTGGCATCAAACTCCCGAGACACACGAGCTGCGGTCTAGACTCCTAGTATGCCCCTTAACAACCCCAAAAGTAGTCCCCTAAATAATCGCCTTTGCGGAGTTATGACCCTAAACCCTCAACCCTAAATCCTACATAAGCCCCGTTTAAGGAGCTCAGACCTTAAACCCTAAACCATAAATCCTATGTGGAGTTTAGACTACATCAGCCAAGGCCACTCGAACCTGCATCGCCCAAATCCTGAAAGCCCTGACTCGACGAAACCGTGGCGCTCCCGAGAAGCCAACAGACTAGGGTTTAGCGTCTAGGGTTAAAGGTTTAGGGACCCCCGCCGTGCAATAGTGATATAATAGGAATATGAGAGGATCCGAATGTGACCACTATCATCCCTTCTAGTCACTATTACCGGGCAGGGGGTCCACCCACCTGACGACTACGTAAATCTTTCAAAGCGCCGAGACCACAAACTTGAATCTTTACAACCCCAGCTGAAACTGAATCCACGAAATAAAGCAAGGAGCACTACCACCACGAAGACGAAATGTGCAGCTTGGCAAATTATGCGGCCAACTAGCATGGCGTAGTCCTGGCCACAAAGAAGAGCTCAAGGAAAATTAGGGACTTGGGAGTTTCCCATAACTAGGGGCCAAATGTGCATCGTAACATATTTGGTAGTTTCCCAAAATAGGGGACGCCAATATAGACCCAAAATGCCATAGAATCTTCATCCCCTCCCGCAGACGACCTGGAGGTCCATGGGCAGTTGCAATCTGTAAGTGAGGATATAAGTACCATAATTTGGGCTCAAAGTCTGGCTACTCTACTTATAACCCCACTTCACTCTCCAGAGACCTTCAAGTAGCCCACAAAGGCCCTAAACCCTAAACCTCGAACCACTACACCTAATTAATGCAGGCTCCTTGGTCCGGAACCAACATCAAAAGCTTTAGGACTTGCAGCCATGAGCCCATTGTAGGTGCCCAGATGAAGGGTTCAGGGTTTAGGGTTTGGGGTTTTGTGTCTTAGGCCGTACTCTACGAAGCAAAGATGGTGAGACGATTGCTTGGAGACAAACTTGGTAATCATTCGGACTTCTACAGTGCTGGGTTATGCTTGAAACCAATCCTATATGATGTGTTCCTCAAAAAGATGGGCCCCTGAGCCAACTTGCCCTCAGAGCAGATTCATGTTTCTTCCTGGTTGTTAGTGTTGTTGGGGATTATAAAGGCTACCACATTCTCAAATACCTCCCAAAAAATCGGTAAGCATTCGGGCGGGTTCCTATCTGCCGTTGCAGTAGAGTCAGATCCAGGTGTAAGTTAACAGCAAAGCCAAATAATCCCCTCCCCTAATATAGTGTATTACAATCTATCGGAGGGGCCGTGGGGGGTTTAATGAGTTTAATGTTAGCGGGAGGGGATTACCGTTTCGAAGGTGGAGATGACAGTGGTCGCCTAGAAGATTCATGTCCAAACGTGACCGTGGCAAACTCCCTCGTACACGAGCCTTGTTCGCACAAGCCGAGCTTTTCGAAACTGCTGGGATCACCAGAGAAGCAAGTACGCCGAGGCTTCAGGCCAAGTGCACGCATAAGCGCCACTCTATGCAATGTGCCAGTAAGGCTTGCTTGCGATCGAACTGGAGAACTAGAGCATTCTGCAAACACACGCACACACACACACGCGCGCGCGCGCACACACACACACACACACACACACACGGACAGACGGACGGACGGACGGACGGACGGACGGACGGACGGACGGACGGACGGACGGACGGACGGACGGACGGACAGACGGACAGACAGACAGACAGACACAC